GATGGTGAGCACCTGAAATCTCAGCTACTTGGGAAGCTGAGGCAGGAGAATCGCTTGAACCCAGGAGATGGAGGCATAAACGCATGTGTACTATCTAGGCAGCAACAAAAATTTTAATCCATTTTCAAGGCCAGCCTGGTTTTCTTGATCCACAGTGATCCAGGTGGGAAAATCTAGAAGTCGTCAGAACAAGCTTCTCTGAGACCCTGAGATGCCTATGAAGACTGGCCAGTGTCTGGTTGCTGCCAAGATTGTTCCAATAGCTCTTCAGGCAGTTCAGAAACCACCCCAAACTCCATACATGGGGGAAGTCACCTTTCAGGGGAAAACTCAGACCCAACCTTCTTGAAAGATCAGGAAAAACAGAAATGACAGTTCCTCTGAGGTCCCTATAAGCAGTGGTGGCAAAAACAAACCTCTGCGTGAATTCAAATCTCTAAGTTTGTTCTGGTTAGCAAGTCTGGAAATGAAATTTACCCTAGTGAAGGCTACATGATCACTAAAGAGCTGTAAAGTTAAGAGTAGTATCTTCAGTCTGAAGACAAAGCCTTCCCTCTCAAGTGTTATAAATAATTATGTATTTAATATTTTTAATTTGTATATATTAGTGTGACACAATGCTTGAATCAGCAGCTATTTTTCCTCAAAGTTTAAGATATTTCTATGTTTTATATAACCTCCTGTTATTCTACCACATAAATATAAAATGCGGGAGGAGGGGACTGAGAACAGGACCAAGGCAGTCATCTTAAATATCTTATACAATATGTTTAAATTTAAAGAGATGTTATTTAATAAACTATGTGTCTGAGTCTTAAAATTCCAGGTTTCAAAGTAAGTGTGTTCAATCCTAGAACAGCCTGGGTAAGCTATCTTAATCAACTTTCTACTATTTCAAGTGCCCAAATTTCTCCAGAATTGTCTTTTACAAAAAAGGCAACACCTTATATTTGAGTCCTTTCAAAGTTTCATATTACAGAGGCCTCTCCGAAGAACAAAGAACTGCTCCAGAAAGATATTTCAGCTTGAAATAACCTAAAAATCAATGCAGTTTTGATTGAAAAAAAAAGGAAAAAAGAGTCCATTTTAATCAAACAGTAAAGAGGAAAGCAAAGCAATTTAATGCAGATTCAGTTCTCATTCTTGAAGGGATATATGAACTCATAATTTCTAATGTTGGAAACTGAAAAGCAAGCCTTTTAAAGATTACTTTAAAAAGTAGTAGTATTATGTCTGCCTAGAATACATAATCTGAATGCAGTCATGAGGAAACATCAAACCAATTCAACTGACAGATATTCTGTAAAATAACTGGTCCATATTCTCAAAAGATAAAGAAAGACTGAGAAGTCAGGACAAGTAACTGATTTATGATCCTGAATTGGATCACAGACTGGAAAAGGGATATTAGCATTTTTTTTCAAAGGGAGTCTCAGTTACTTTGGTCTGTTAAAGAAAAATCCAGAATTCTCTTAGGTATAGTGAAATGATGTCTACTAAGAAAAGTATACTTCTTAAAGGTTTTTGTTGTTGTTGCTGTTTTGGCCAGGATAATATTAATAGCATACACATCTCAGTGTCTTCATTCAGCCACAGGCATACAAGTACATTCTTCTAATGGATTCTTGAATCTGAAAAATCAGCCATAATTATAATATATGACAAACAGAAGAAGAATAATCCCATTTTGTCTGTATTAGGCAACAGTGAGATCAAGTGCATATTTTGCTGGATTACTGCGAAAGTTGTTGTGGGTGTTTACACTTGTTTACAATGCATGTTTGTTACCAAGAATGTGAATTACCAGATTACCCAAAGAATATAAACCAAATATTTAAAACAAAATTGATATGGTGGGGAACCATTAAAAATTAACTGCACAATGATGAACACTATACAACTTCAGCATATTCACAAGGGTTAATGTAATCACATTCCAAGTATGTCCACTCTTGGCAGGGCTTGCAAACACTAACGCCAGAAAACATTAACTCCATATTCAAATTCTGATAGTTTTGAGTTTTAAAATCCTTTGGCAGGGGGTTTTAACAATTAGTTGGTTAATAAAAAATATCAGGCTGGATAAACTAAGATGATTCTGCTGTTTCAGCCACATGTAAAAAATCGTTAGAAGCCACTGTATTTAGGAATTAAAGAAGATATTCCAGAGCATGCATTCTCTCCCTGCTGAACTTCAGCAGACATTCCCCTTATCACTGGTTCAAGCAATACAGCTCTGGATCCTTGGGACCCTTCAAGGGCACTAGGGCTCTGCCTCCACAGCCATGTCATATCCTGCGGTCACACCAGCATGCAGAGGTGCCTCCCACCCTTTCACCCTTCCAGGAAGCTGGGCAACAGCTGCACAGGAATGTTCACTCTCTGAGCGCCAGCCACTGGAAGACAAAGCACTTGTGTCTCCTCCTCCTTCTGCATTCCTGGAGGATGTTCAAACAGACCAGGGGTTTATTTAACTAAGTCAAAATATAGGTCTGGTTAGTATTTTCAGTCAAAGGAAATCTTTAAGGTAGCCACAAAAGAGAGAAGTTCTGAACAACATTACATAGTTTATCTTAGGAACATCCTAAATCAAAAATACTACCTACTTTTTGTGTTTTAGATGAAATCGCTGTGTAATGTAACAATTGGCTAGTCCACCTGGGAAGGATGATAGTACAATGTGGTTTTTTGATGATGGTGAAACCAGGAGACAACACCAGTGGGAGTAGATGTCTTATAGCCACAAAGACATAGATATAAATCTCTCTTTTACTCCTAATTGTACAATCTTGAGATCTTGGGCATGTTAAGCTAAAAAAAAAAAAAAATCATTCTGTGCCTCAGTTTCCCCATCTGTAGAAAGGCATTAATAATATTTACCTTGGAGGGTGGATTTGGAGATTCTAGAAAATATATGTAAGGGCCAAGCAGGTGCCCAGCATACAACAGGCATGGAATATGCTTATTTCTATATTTTTATAATTTTATTTTTAATAGATAAATGTTAACTTTATATAGAAAAATATTCAATGAGAAAGATTAATTTACTTGGCTTTATTGCTACAAATGATTCGCAATTCATTATTCATTTTCTAGTGAAGAGTCTAAGCTTGAAAACTCAAGAAGCTAGAAATTGGGAGGATACCACCCTGAGGTAGACCATGATCACCTTGCAAGCTAGCTTGAGATTTACAGTTAATTCCATTCTTTTCTGCCTTTTAAAAAAATTTTAATGTAGAGATGGGGGTCTCACTGTGTTGCCCAGGCTGGATCACTTGAACTGCTAAGCTCAAGCGATCCTCCCTCCTAGGCCTCCCAGCGTTAGGATTACAGGCATAAGCCACTGTACCTGACCTTTTCTGCCTTTGTGTATATTTATAAATATACCTCAATGATGATGAGGGAAACTCCCTGGTGTGGGAAAGCCACATCCATTCTCCACATCCTGCTTTGAGAGGATTTGCTTCCCTTAGTTGCTCTCACTTCAGCCTCTGATGTGACAGAGTCCCATGCAACAGAATGATTCCTCCACTGTTATATCAGCAGGTGGAATTAAATACTCCTCTTCCAAGCAAGGCAGATGCTTCCCCAAAGAGACCCATGTGGGAAAGCTGCTTCCGCTCCTGCAGCACTTCACATCACCTTTCACACTGCAGCTCTGACACTCATCCCTTCCTCAGAATCTGAATGAAATCTCCCGGCTAACGAGGGACTCCCCGACAAGTGCCTCCATAAGTTAATACACATTAAATTGCCAGAGGAAACAGAACAGTAAGTGTTCCCAGGGGTTTTAAACATCCCTAGAAGTGTCAACTTGCCCATTTGAGCCAAACTATAGTTAAACAGTTATCAATAATTATATGGAAACTACCATCTTGACTCTGTCAGAGTAACTCAACCATCATTAAACAGACAATGCTTCTAGGGATTAAAAAAAATCTTAGATCTTTTTATCCCATGGGAGGTAGTTTAGATCTCTGAATCATCTCAGGTCTGGTCTGGGCTTCTAAACTATGGGAGGACACAGCAGGAGTGAGGAAGCAACTCTGGGTACAAAGGTAAAGACAGGCGAGAAAGCTGTGTGTGTTTGAGAAATTATCTGTAGAGCTAGCAGGCAGACAGGATTTTACCTAAAACCTGTATCATTGTTAACGTTGTGTGCACAGAGAATTTCCGAAGATCTCTATACTCAAAAGAATGTATGTAAGATTTTGTCAATGTTTTCAAATTGTCCAACCCCAGCTATTTCCTTGGGCCTAGGATCAACGGGTCATTGTTACAGTGATTTCAGGTTCCAGTGGGCTAACAGCACATCTCAAAGCATGAAAAACCAAATTCCAAAGGCTATTTAGGAAACCGACCTTTGCACTTGCTGTTTTCTTCCCCAGAAAACTCTGACCCCAGTCATACCTGCATAGTACATTCTCTTACTTCGTTTTAGGTCTCTGCTCAAATGTCCACTTACTGGAGATGCCTCAACACTCAAAAACAGACTCTACATCACCTCTGAATGCCTTCGTTTTTGTTACTCCTTTCCTTTCTCACCACCTCTCATACTGAAGATGCATTTGCTTATTTTCTGCCTTCCTCTCCTCCCAGATGCAAGTTTCATAAAAGAACTTTGTTTTTTCACTGCTATATCCCAGTTCTTCACAGAGTACCTAAAACATAGTCACTGTTCTATTCAATAAATATTTGTCAAATGTATAATGAACCGTAGATGGTTTACCGAATGTCATATATCTCCAATTCTCTTCCCAGTAGCCCTGAAACTCAAACAAAGGTTCTGAGACACATACAAGGCTCACATCTCCTTAGATGCCTTTTGCTGTTTCAGTTTACAAAGCAAATGTATCCTTCTAAGTTACCCCCAAGAGTTTACACAAGCAAGTTTCCCTTCTAATCTTCTCGGGATACAGTGTTCATTAACACACCACTTGCCCTTCTCCGAAAATATCGAAAATGTTGATGCTCACAGAAACCTAGGTCTCTTTTCTTACCATACTGATCTGAAGAGCTGGTGAAGAGAAGATAGTCAGAAGCACAGGTCTGGGATTCGATATCCAAGTCTCCCAACCTCAGAATCAGTCTCTTCCCCTTTGGTACTGTAATCGTCCTTTCGCAAACAGTGTGATTGGGGTAGGTCCCGGGATAATTCTTAGATGTCATTGTGCCACTATCCTGGTAAGTCACTAGGTGTCCACAGCCATCACCTGGTAAAGAAAAAAAATGGGGATAAAAAAAGAAAGTGTAATTAATTCTTATTGAGGATTGAGAGTCCAATGTAATCTCCAAGTTATATATTTTATTGTTTTTGGGGAAAAGGAAAAACAAAAAACAAAAAAAGAAGATTGAATTATTAAACAATACCTGTTGTTTCAGGTTATTTCATCTCTTGTTTTCCAGTTTAATTTTGATGATCAAAATGTTTCACATATTAGAATATAAAGCCCTTAGGAAACAAATCATCTAATCACTAGTTTTTCTAATCAGCTATCTATCGACCTATCCAAACTCACTCAGCAGGCCTTGCATGGATTTGCCAAGCCACCCCCAAAGTCAATGTCATATAATAATTCACAATGAAAAAAAAATATTACCCACTTTAGAAGGTGGTTGTGCTCATTAAATGAGATAATGTATAGAAAATGCTCCTGTTAGAATTTGAGGCTTAAGCTGACAAAACTTTGTTTAGCTGCAAGTCATTTAGCTGGGAGCTGAGCCTAATAATCATTTGAAACGTATGTCTTAGTTAATAACAGTCACAGATTCTACGGTTCCTCATAGACTGAGGATGTACAATCAGAAAATGTCAAGGATCTACTATGTTGAGTGCTTTTCATAACCAGACACGGTATTAACAGCTGAAAACACAAAAGCAGCACTTGCCGTCTCACAGAACTCAAGGTAAAATGGCAAATACTCACACACTCAAATAACTACATACATCAGGGGTCTAAAGAAAACGTAAAGGAGAGAGGTAAGAAAGAATGTTTCAGTGAATTACCAGCATTTTGTCAAAACAAGAAATTATCTGAAGATTTCTCAACAGGGAAGTTCACCTATTAACCTACAAGTTGCTCTAGTTGATTAAAGTGGCCAAGTCAGTCACACAACCATCTAAGGACATGCACAACTGGGTGGGCTGCAAGGAGAATGAGGATATGCTGCTTTCAGATTGCAAAACGTCTGTAGTTAGCATAGCTTCATATAGACTAAGCAAGAATTTCTGGTCTCAGCTGAAGGGAGAGAAGCAGAAATCTGTTGAAGAAGGAACTCTGAAAGGTAGTGAACGAAAGCCTCTCCATCCCAAAGTCTCTCATGGAGAAGCCTCAACTTGGGTATACTGGGACCCTGAAGACTTCAAAACAGCCAGCCCTCTTCCCTCCCAGCCTCTTCCCCAGTTAGAGTTGGATTCACCTGGAATCTTCCTTTATTCTACCTCCTTCTTGCCTTGAGGTGTTGGGCCAAATGGTAATAGAGGTTTATAAAAAAATGTTTTAAAACTCCAGAATCTATGTTAACTCAACAGCCAAGGCCTAGTGAAAGGATCTGCCCATAATCCAGACACTCCCACGAGACTCCTGGCAGCCCCTGACAGGTGGCTGAATTGGAGAAGTAGAGTTGGCTTTAATGGAGCAATGGGTTAAGGAGTGTGGGTGGTGGGGTGGACTCTAGATAGATAGCCAAGATAAACCTACTATGAAGCCTTGAGATCTACACAGAAGAAGTTAAATTTACGTGGAAGGCAACAAGGACACACAGAATTTTTTGAGTAGGGAAATAATGAAAGAGGTATTAGAAAAAGACGATCACCCTGGCTGGGCAATGCTACAGAAGCTACAATAGGGACAGAATCCGGATCAGAGGAGCAGCAGGCAGGCTAGCAATGGGGGTAGCTGGAACAGGAAGGAAGGAAACAAAAAACAGGGAAATCCATGAGACAAAATTAACAGACTCAGGTTTTGGGGAACTATAGCGGGAAGGACAAGAGGAGAAAAAACACCAAGGCCTTGTTCGATCCAGAAATGTCTGGAATACTGAGGCCAATATAGACAGCAAAAAAGGTCTAGAGACGGAGCAGGTTTGGGGACAAAGGTTCTAGGTTTGGTTCAGTTTGAGGTGACAGCGAAATCCCTTGGGCTTTCTGGCAGTTGGTATGTACAAAATTACCAAGAATTAAATGAAAATGATACTAGAGAGAAGCATAGCGTACAGGTACACACACTGTACAGGGCTTTGATTTAAAATCTGAATTATGTGTCTGCGTTTAAGGGCTTTAACAAAAAAATCCAATTTATAGTCTCCCTTTAAAACTGAAAGACGAGCTGGGCGCAGTGGCTCATGTCTGTAATTCCAGCACTTTGGGAGGCCAAGGTGGATGGATCACTTTAAGTCAGGAGTTCAAGACCAGCCTGGCCAACATGGTGA